GTAACCATTTGAATTTATAGTAGCATTGAACAAATGGTATTTATCGGTCCCAGAAATTATGGTCGTTGCAACACTCCTGTGGTCATCTGATCAAAATTTGGATGCTTGGCCACTCACCTGCACTTCGACCACAGGGGAGCATCGTCAACTCCTGCCACACACCTATCTTCCTCATCCTCTGCCCTTTTGGTCGCCCTGCACTTCTCTCATCATACTGTCCTGCCAACCCTCCCATTCTGTTCTTCCTAAACCTGCCACCCTGTCAGCCCTACTGGCTCCGAACCCAAACCTCTTTATCAGTGGTGGATTAAGGCTCACTAGTGCCCTAAGCACTGACAAATCTTGGTGCCCCCCCTCCTTGGTACATACTGTACAAATCTTCATTGAGTTTTTTTTCTTTCTCAACTTTGTGGTGCCCACTTTGGGCCTGGTGTCCTAAGCACGTGCTTAGTCTGCTTAATGGTTAATACATCACTGCTCTTTGGTCACTCCATTCAGAAAAGAAAGACAAGTTTCCCCACCCACATCCATATTCTTCCTTCATTTGTTTTCTTTGTAAAAAAAATAACAATAAATCCAATTATGGGAGCAGGTTGTGCTAATTACTCTCAGGGAGTGGCTTCTCTATTGAAACTGCTATTATTGATGGCCAATGCATGAATTCAGGTTATTACTGATGCTCAGACTTCTAAACATTGTGAGACTCCATGGAATTCAAATTCAGCAGCTTCTCCCCAAAACTGATCAATGCCTTAGGTGTTAACGTACTACAAGTACAATTAGATCACGTTTCTCTTTCTGGTTGTGAAAAATACACTGATGGTGTGAGAAGATGCTAAGGGAAACATATTATTGTTTCTCAATAATATCCATTAATGTTCTTGTTTAAACCATTTAGTTGTGTGTCCAACTCTTGGCAACTTTATAGGCATATGTTCTCCATGCTACCCTATCAAGCACGGCATCTTTCAATTGTTGGATGTTCAACTTTGTACCAGATTTGAAGTTATCAAGCCAGCGTGCTCTTTGCTTGCCCCTTCTTCTTGTTCCACTAACCATTCCTAGCATCATTGCCTTCTCTAATGAATTTGCCTGCATGACATGGCCAAAGTAAATCAGACATAATTTTAGCAAAGTAAACCAGACATGATTTTAGCTTCTAGTGCCTTGTCTGGTTTTATCCATTAATGTAGCATAGTTACATAATTATCATGCAAAGGAAGAGATTTATCATGGTTATTATTTCTGAAGTCAGAACCATTCTGACATTTCACCATATTGGAACACATTTTTGTAGCCTTTCTCATTATAATGCATTTGTAATAAGTAACTTTGCGTCCAATATACAGTCACTGCCAGTTGTATAAATCTGCTGATGAAAAATAAATCTAACACTATACCCTTACATTACAGAAAAAGAGGGGAAACTAACAAAGAATTGCATCGTTTATTATTTGATTTAGAAGATGCTTGACAGTCAGTGTTGGAATGCTAAAGGAGAATATCATTAACAGTGAAGGCAGAAAAGACTAATACACTAGGTAATTTGAGGGTGATGCATCTTTGCCAGGGGAAAGGGCAGATTCTCCTGTTTCAGCAAACTTGCCTATCACTTTAAATTCAAATATTGGCATACTTATACAGCTGCATTTAGATGCTTTCCCAGCAGAAAAGTTGCTGCTATGGATGAGTTTCAAGTTCAAACACTATAGAATTGTAAATATATGTCTGGGGTTTTTTTGGGGATTAAAAAATTTAGATTTCACAAAAGCATTTTTAAGTAACTTCTAGAGGCTTGAGCGTTTTGTCACTGAAAGTCACAACACATACTTATAAAATGTACACACACTGAATGACAATCCATACAAAGCAGTTATTGAAAAGGTATTTATTTATTTACATAGTTTATATCCTGTTTGATCCCACAAATTCTGGGTGTCTTTATTAAGTTTAGAATACCAAAGTATTCCCAAGATTTCAATTTCTTCATACAATAATTATTTTTCAATCAGAACAGTGCTTATAATTTTATACTAATATGATTAGTCCTAATAAAAGTATCCTATTATTATTCTGTATGTATTGCTATTATTACTGTAGCCACATACACAGCAGCCTAGATGTCTTCAATGGATATTGATTATAGTATGCAGACCAATAATTGACTTTACTCATTGGCTTAGCTACTTCCTTTCCAGTGGTGAAATCTAAACCAGTTTGCCACCTGTTTGTTGGCTGTGCATATGCGCTGCGCACCAAGCGCGCCCTACACACCAAACGCACACTGCGTGCACATGCACAATTCACACCAAACACAGACTGCATACGCTCATGCACAGTATGCACCAAACACGTGCTTCGCATGGAAAAAGGCTTGGGAAGGTAAGTAGAACTGCGGGGGGGGAACAGCTGTGCCGCACGATTTAGATTCGCTAGAAAGCAGGATTTCTTGCTTTCTAGCAATTTTAAATCATGTGGCATAGCTGATTGTCGGAAATACCAGTTCGGAGGAACCAATAGCTTTTTTTTTTACTACTAGTTCGCCTGAACTAGTAGTTTTTATCACTACCAGATCGCATGAACCAGTGTGAACCGGTAGCATTTCACCACTGCTCCTTTCTCACCATACCAATTCCCATTTGGCTGCCCAGTTCATCCCAGAGTACATTCTGTGAACCTCTTGCAATTTTATTTTATTAAATGTTCCCACTGAGAAGTCAGTTTCCTTCTGCCAGTGTTGCCTTTAAAGTGATTTTAAACTGTGGGTTGTGACCATCTGGATGGACTCAAGTGATTTAGAAAGGAGATCACAGTATTTTTAAGATAATAAATTTTTGTAGGCAAAATGCGAGTTTTTTCAGTGTTCCCACTTTGCCTCAGTTTTATTCATAATTTTTATTCACTGGAGAATTGCAGAAATTCATATATGGATACTTTTCCCTAAAATAACCATTCACTGATTTAGTATTGTACTGTATTGTATTGTATTGTACCTTGCTTCCATTATATAGTGTTTATGGGGTTTCTAAGTGGTCTATTATGGAGACACTGACCAGTTCTAAATACATTTAACTTCAAGGTACCCTTCCTTCATAAAGTTCACTCCTACCTTTTTCTGTAACTCATTTGCCTCTTGATCCTCTTCCTCCTTCCTGTACTTTGAAAAGCTCTAATCTTGTAGATATAGGCGATAGTTTTATTTAGTCAATAGATGGCGCTAAATATCCATTTAGGAAACAATATTCTGTTCAGTAGAATAGTTTAAAATAAAAATATATGTTTTTGATCAAATGCTACCATCATTTAGAAATATAGCACAATAGTTTTCTCCTGATGCATTTGGAATGGTCCAGTCTGGAATAAGTTATCTACTTTATGTTCTTGTTTTAATGTCTTCATATTTATTGGACTATATTATGCATTTGTAGTTTCTAACTATTAGTGTCCTTTTCAGTATAATGCATGGAGACCATTTAGAGGCTTTATGGAAATTTGAACATTTATATGGATCCTCAATTATGATTACTAATGTCTTGTTAACCTTTTAAATTATGTGCTGTGATACATATAAAGCAGGGGTGGGTTCTACTTACCTTTACTACAGATTCGCAATCGGATCGCATACGCGCCTTGTACAGATCGCCAATGACGACATCTGGGGCAGTGGGCGGGGCCTCCCGCTGGTTTTACTACCGGTTCTTCTGAACCGGTCCGAACCGGGGGCAACCCACCACTGATAGTATGTTCCTGTTTTTATTTTTAATTTCACTTTGGAACTTTTTGATTCCCAAAAGATATTGAGAGATATTTCTGAAATTCTGAAAACATCAATGATGTTATGTTGTAGTAAGAGACATCCAAGATATTTCTCTGTACATATACAATCCTATTTTTGTAGTTATGGCAGAAAACTCTATTTCTTACACTATTTCTCTAATAATACAGTTTAGTATTTTGAATACTCTGTAACTAGGATAAATCAAACATGTATCAGGTATATGTCATTGGGACCATTTCTGTTCAATGCATCAGGCAAAATATCAAGTCACAGTCATTGTTTTGACCTTTCTGGCATTTGCCAAGTAAGGAGTACAACACTGAGGACAAAAAACACGTTTATTGCATGATTGGGTGCCTGCTTTACAAGAAAGAAAGACCTTGAACAAACATGCAAATAGTTTTATAGAAATCTGAAGGCTACAAGGTCAGAAGTCCTAGGGAATGTAATTTACGAGCTAGTTTCGGGAAACTAGCTAGGTCCTTGTCAACTTATCTGAAGTGGGTTTCTTTTTAGGCAAGATGGGCCTTCCAGAAGGACAGCAAAGCTGCGGGAAGTTCATGATGAAAGGTGATGGATTGAAGAGGTCATCAGTTGATAAAGAGAGGATGCAAATTTGTAGTATCTCTATGTTGCAATTCTATTGTAAGGGTTGCCCTTGGGTGAGACAGGGTGAGGAGACCTTTATTCTTTGGTTTGATGGGATTGCAGGGTGCGTTGTCTGGATCAGGGAAGTTCAATTTGAGTCTGATGATATTAGGCAAACAGGGTTTTGACCCTGACCAAATGCAAAAGAACACAGGTGGTGAGGAGGAAAGGAGGGGGTGCAGTTTCCATTTTGTTTCCTAGATTTATTTTCTTCACTACAAGCCTATTAATGAGAAGATTTAACACTTTATCTCATGGATTAAGTATAGAACAGGTCTACTTTTTCACACTGCATTATTATCCAGGGCAATAATGTTTATGTATTGGCTGTTTCATATTTAGTCACTTTCAAATAAAACCTAATTCTACCCCTTCTTTACCACTTCCGTGTGTTACAAATTCCTAGTTTTAGTAAGGCGCAATACTAATGAATCTGAAGCTTTTATGCGCTCCTCAAATCCTCCCCCTCGCATAATGCCATTTATAAAAGGCAAAATTTGAGAAACCAGACTGTGCCTTACTTATTCCAAGGACTTTAGAAAAGTGATCTGACTCTGAGATAATGTCTGAAATGGAGCATTATCCTTGATTCAGCAAAGCAGCAGTCAGTATTCTGAAAAAAGTCTGCTTTTCACTTATATTGCATGTTCTATAAAAAGAAAAAGAAAGGAAATGGTGATGAATAAAGATGCAAAGATTTCAAAAGAGAGTAATAAGTAACATGTGTAGCTAGGTGACTGTACTAATTTTATTTGGAAACTTGAGCATTTAATTGTTACTTCCCTTTCCCAAAATAGTCCTTTTTTAATCTAGAGATTTGGCTTCACTAGTTTTAGAAGGAAGTTTCTTATTAAAACCTTTTCCTGCATCAGTACAATACAGGGGTGAAATCCAGCATGTTCTGACAGGTTCTGGAGAACCGGTAGCAGAAATTTTGAGTAGTTTGGAGAACCAATAGCGGAAATTTTGAGTAGTTCAGCGAACTGGCAAATGCCAACCTCTGGTTGGCCCAGGGAGGGGTGGGAATGGAGATTTTGCAGTATCCTTCCCCTGGATTGGGGTGGGAATGGGGATTTTGCAGTATCCTTCCCCTGATATACCTACCAAGCCACGCCCACAGAACCAGTAGTAAAAAAATGTGGATTTCACCACTGGTACAATGCTATCTTTCATGTTTCAAGACTTAACAAGGTTTGTTAATGCTTGTATTTTGGGGCTTTGGGCAGATAGATTCAAAGCACCTTCCGTTCTAATTTTCCTAGAATTGGGCTGAAGGGAAGAGATTCTGGCAGAAGCCTGGGAAGCTCTTGGAAGGAGAGGTTTCAAACAATCCTTCTGTTTTATAACACCTTCCCTGTCTAAAACAACTGTTTGCCTAAGCCTAGCCTTTCTCAGGACAATAAAATTCAAACTTTGATGGATTTATTTCCCTTCGAGACAGCACTGGGGTCTCTGTAACTTTTTATTCAGTGACATGACAAAGATCAATGTAAAGGTGACTTCATCTCAAGGTCAAATCCTGTGGGGTTCATTTACAAAAAAATAATAATGATGGAAGTAAATTGCCACTCTATTCTTCTGGGATGATTTTGTTTAACCCCCTCCCCCATTTCCCTAATAATCTTTATCCAGTTTATTAGCCAGTCCTGAGCATGTGTGATTTTTGACATCAGTGAGGTCCTGCCAGTTGCTGAACTCTCCTCCTAGAAATTCTTATTCTCATTTAATATGTGATTAATATAGTATCAAAAATAATTCTGTGTCCTTGCTCTGATCTTTTACCTCATTTCCCCCTTTTCTTTCTCCCCAACAGTTGTAAGACTTGTACAGGAAAAAAAAAGATCAATTATTTGAATCACACTCTGTACCTCTGGGAAAAAAAGCTTATGGGAGAATGTATTTGTTTATTTTTTTAAGGGACACAACAGTCTTTGTTTTTAAATTCTTTATCAGATTTTTTAAAAAATGAAATTGTTTAATGCCCAACATCAACTTGATGGCTTTCTTAGATTACTAAAAAGCTGGTTCTAATTGCCCTAATCATTTTATAGAGAGATTTTTTTTGAATAGGGGAAGTGAAAAGGCACATAAGCATATTCATGTTTTCCTAATAATGGGAAAATATGGGTCATTACTGAGCTACATTAGAAGACAGTCCCAAAGAGAGGTAATTGTGTTAAATATTTTGTAGCAAACACACTAGAATCTTGTGAACCTTAAAGCCCAACCAATTTATTATTTCACAAATCAACGAAGACAGAAAAAATCGGAATCCAGATACAACCATGGTGGTTGCATGTTTTATCCTTATACTTCTGATGCATTTTCAGAAATGTGAAATGTGGTCCATGTAGAATTTGCAATGTAACCTTATCAAGATGTGCTCAAAATAATCCCATCAGAGCCCAAGATCCCTCACCTTCACTTTCTCATCTTCCACCAGTGAGTAATTCATACCTTTCCTTCTTTGGGATTCTTTTTCTCCACCTTCATTTCTTCTCCCTTGACTTGCCCTCGTTTTTCTGAGCTTTTCTTGGGTCTGCCTGTTTTGAAATCAGAGATCTCAGTAGCAGACAGCTGCTTTTCTATCTTTGTCTCACACACACACACGCACGCACACACTTACACACCCGTTGCATTAATATAGCTCAATTAAGCCACATTCATCAACACAATTATAGTACAGATTGCACAGCTTTTCACCATGGTTCATATTCAGATGTTGGTCAAAAATATCTACATAACTGTTTTAGATGTGTGTTTTTGTGTATGCATATAATTAGATACATCCACACTTATATACTACACACATAGATACATCCTTTAGTGTCCCATTATGCACAATTCTCTTTCTTCTTCTCTGCAGCACCAATCTTCCTTCATGTGGTATGAACTTACAGTGGGGAACATTTAGGAAGAGGAATCTCTGACCTTATCTTTCCTGGATTATGGTCACGTAATAATTAAGCAACACAGAACTACTTTGTATGCTAATTTCTCTGTAGAAGCTTAGCTATCACTTATCACAGTTACAAAATACAAGTCATTTTTCCCTGGAGATGAAGGGAGAAGCATTTATCTCATGCTGTTGGCCATGGAAGTTCAGTAGACAGTAGCCATTAATTACCAGCCTTTCTCCCTTTTTATTTACAGGCCCTAAACTAGATTTATTGGGGTGGACTATTTAACTCTCTGAAGATCTAAATAGCATAGTCAGCTACGATCAGGCAATGTCACTAATTTATTTTTCTGGAAGGAACAGCTCCTTGATGCTTATATCTACATATTAGTCATAAGAGATAATTTGATTCTCTGTCTTTCAGAGTTTTCTAGGTTTTTTCACCCCCCTTGAGTTGTACCTTGTCTCCATTTGTTTTCACACACACAAAGGCACAGTTTCTCTTTAACCCTTGAAGGCTAAATGGAAGATGAGGGACATGCTGAAAATCCATCTTGTTTGACAAAACTATACTGTGCTTTCTAAAGAATTTTAAAGCCCAGATTCTCTAATTATTGAAAAGAATGACAAGAAACAGAAACAGCATATGTTTACTTGGTTGTGCATGTTTTTTAGAACTTCTATTAATCCCACGTGTGAGATGCTTAAATACTGTAGTTAAGGTTTCCATTTATAGTCTATATTAAGGATTGGAGACATGAGCCAGAAAATTTTGTGTGGGGTTATCATTGCATATGGAGGGAAAAAAACTGCATACAGTGGTAGAGACATCAAATGTGGCTGCAAAAAATAAAAGTTAGGGAAGTATTTCCTGCCATATGTAGGAAGTAGATATTTAAAGATTTTAATGCCTGCATTTATAAAAAGTAACTGGGAACGATACCCAAAAATAGAAAAAGGAAGTAGAAGAAATATTAACCCGAGAAAGCAAATTTTTGGAAGAAGGTATCATAGTGATTGATTCTGCATATTCGCCAGTCCAGTTTTTGTCATAATATATGCTTCCAACAGCAATGAGAGTTTAGCCAATTTTCTCTATTTATGAATGTCATAAATAGCACAGAATTCACCAGATTTATTGAACCAATTGGACAATTTGTTCTATATCATGATCCAAGGGTCAAAATCAGTGGGGGGACTAAAGACATTGAGATTAGATACGACTATACACACAGAAAGTAGTTCCAGAAGCATTGATCCTGCCATATTGCTGTCCAAATGAACACTTATACTTGAACAGGTCATGGCCTAAAATAATAACCTGGTTTCTATCCAATTAGAACCTTTAAAAGTTCAGGAGGACCCCAGTCTTCACCCACACTAATAGAATAAGAGAGAGCCCTATTTTCCTGGAACCAGTGTACTACAACACTAAAAGAGAAATCAGGGGATACAAAGCTAAGCGTATTTTATTTGTGCGCATAAATCACAAGAGTTGGGTTGCCACACAGTCCTAATCTATTGATCATGGTTTGCAAAACACTATGCTTAGATTTACACATCACATTAAACCACAAACCAATCGTATTGTGACTTGAGTATGTTGTGAAAACCCAAAACTTATACTGTAATTCTGCAAAAGTTTGTTTTGAGTTTCATGGCTTTATTAGTGATTCCACCCTCAAATAAGAATGAGGGTACAAAGTCAAGGAATATTGTTATAGTGCAGGGCTGTCAAACTCCTGACCCGAGGGCTAGATGCGTCACTTGCTGGCCACACCCATGCCCGGTTTAGTGAAGGGGGGGGAAGTCCTGATACGTCATGTGACGCCGCCATGACGCCGTGAGTTTGACACCCCTGTTATAGTGGTTTTGTTTGTATTGTTTAAATTATAGGACATAATCCCACTCAATTATTCTTGTTTATTTTATTCAGAGCAGAAAATATAGTGGTTAAGTCCACAACCTTGAAATCTAGTCCCATATTCAGATTCAGAAAATAATAATGTTTGATTCTTACAAACAAAATAAGAAAATAACTTCTCTATGGCAGACCCTTCTTGAAGGCCCAGAAACAGAAGACAGGCTATCATTTGTCAGGCTAAGCCTTCTGACACCCCTGTTTTCTAGCTTGTGTTCCCTTCCCTATTAGATTGATCATTCTGCATAGGGCAATTCATTTATATTTGAAGTTTAGAAAAAAACTACAGCAAATGTCCTACTGTGTGTAACACAACGGACATACCTAAATAACACTATGAGTGTTTGATAAGCACTTCACACAAAATTTTAGACATTTTAAAATCCTACTACCTGAGTATCTTTATTCTTTTGGTTGTCTGAACTATTCAGCAATTTTCTTCCTGTGCCAGAGTCATATAAGAACTGTTTGCTTTTTATATATAACTGATACAATATTGCTAAGAGCAGTATGTTGTACATTGAATAAATAAAGAATAGAGCTAAGACACTTCAATTGAAAGGCTGTACTAATTTAGAAGAACCTCTTTACTCCCTGTATTCAAAAGCTGGGTTGATTTATTTTTGGTGAAACAAGGGTAAAACTATTTTCATTAAAGTTCTGCAGTCTAGAACCTGTGGACTACCCATCTGTCCATTTGCAGAAATTCATACCTCCTCACGCCAATCTCCTAGGTCCGTGATGGCGAACCACAGGTGGCACACGGAGCCATATCTGTGGACACGTGAGCGTTGCCCTAGCTCAGCTCCAGTGTGCATGCATGCGCCGGCCAGCTGATTTTCGGGGCTTCTGGGCCCACTGGAAGTCGGGAAACAGGCCATTTCCGGTCTCCAGAGGGCCTCCGGGTGGTGGGGGAGGTCGTTTTCACTCTCCCCAGGCTCCAAGAAAGCCTCTGGAGCCTGGGGAGGGCGAAAAACAGGCCTACCAGGCCCACTGTGCCATCACCTGCCAAAAGCGGGGGTTGCACGGGGAGGGAGTTGCGCGTGTATGCGTGGTGGGAGGGGCGCATTGAATTATGGGTGAGGGCACGCGTGCGCATGACCCCCCTGCGCTCCCCCCGCTTTTGGCACGCAACGGCAAAAAGGTTAGCCATCACTGTCCTAGGTTTTAGGTTTTCAAAAAGAAAGGTGACCAGATGCATTTTGGTGCCCAGTCCCAGGTCCAGTTAAATTCCACCGCCTAACCCGCTGGTTTACACAAAACCAAACAAATGCACACAATGTAAAATAAGAACACGGGTAGTGCTTGCAAGTACTTTTTCTCTCCCCCCCCCCCCTTTTTTTTTTGCATGCTCTACCACCATTTTAGGTGAGACAGAAATTTGTTCCTTTGGAGAACTGGGTGTGAAAGGGCTTTATCTTGTGGGGATGTTCATTCTCATTTGGTTATTCAGAGGTATCTAATTCACAGAATCCAGCTCTCACTTTGCTAATTATGCAGTAATGGTAAGGTACTGTAGCTATATTTATGTCTGAATCAAGTTGTTGCTGAGCATCAGGAACATGCTTGTTTTTCCCAGATTAACACTTTATTAATCTGCATTATTTAGCATGAAACAGAACTGGTTGGCAATCACAGCCTTCCTTCAATATGTCTTGCTGACTTCCAAATCTATTTACAGGCCTATTTAGGCCCATCTAAGGATAAAGTAGTCTTACACTTTATTTACTACATCGGTTATGGACAGCTACATGCTGCTGCATACACCCCTTTGCCCATTTCCCTGCAATTATGTTTTCTAAAGTAATGCCAATATATAAGTGCCATCTGTTTAACCAGGGTATCCAGGGATTAAAACAGAAGAGAACACTGTTTAATATGAATGCAAATAGGTAGAGTTGTTTAGGTGAGATGGGCGGTATATATATTTGATAAATAAAATAGCTCAACATATTTTGATTCTACTTATTTATCTATCATTTTACTTATGAAGAGTTTCATTTAGCAAAAGTGTTGTTATTCTTGGAATTAACCATACCTGTCAACTGATCTTAAAAATATTTAATTTGTACCAATTATAAAAAACATTTAATAATAATAACTTTATTGTCATTGTACGTGTATACACTGTATACCCGTACAATGAAATTCATTAACGCCCAAAGACCAGGTCCAACACACATAACAATCCCCAAACACACTCCCACCCACCACAATTCCCCACCCCTAAACCACCCAAACATCCACACAACAGACTACATAATTCTGTCCAACAGCTCACAGTGGCCCTTTAGTTCATTGTTGAGTGCAATTATAGCTCTGGGATAAAAACTATTCCGAAAATGTGTGGTCCGAGTTTTAATTGTTCCGTATCTTCTGCCAGAAGGCAACAGTCCAAAAAGATTGTAAGCAGGATGGGAAGAGTCTCTGAGAATGTTATGCAACTTGATCAATTCTACTAATTCTACTTATTTTGACTACAAGACTTAGCAAACTAAAATCTCTAGGATATTCTGCCAATGTCACTAGTTACTGTTAAGTTTTGCTCAAAAAAGATATTTTGCAGGTTTTTTTAATTCAGGCATCCTATGAAATATCTCCCTTGGCCTCTTCTAGCTAGCAGGTTTCCTGACCAAGAACAAGTATTTAAGGTAAATATATGCAGCGAGAGACAAATCAATGCCAGACTTACACCCTAATTAACAACTTGGTAAAGCCCAGAT